TTCTTGGATGCACGGCATTCTTAAACATAAGAACAACAGCCAATGTGCATCTGCTGTGTAGAATTACTTACTTATTTACTTACTTAGGCGATTCCTCGTCCGAGTGGGATAATCTTCCAAGATCAGTGTACTGGCGGTGGGTCCATAGGTGACTATGGAGCCCTATTTTCAATCTGCATGTTCTCCTGCATTCAGGGCATTGGTTTCCAGGTGGAAGACGGTCCTGGTTGGGGTTGGCTTGACGTGCCTTCCTCTTGGCACGTTTCTCTCTTTTGCCCTCCATTCATGCCTCTTCTACAGCATTGCTGGTCACAGCTGACCTCCAGCTGGAGCGCTCAAGGGCCAGGGCTTCCCAGTTCTCAGTGTCTATGCCAGAGTTTTAAAAGTTGGCTTTGAGACCATCTTTAAATCTCTTTTCCTGCCCAACAACATTCCATTTTCCATTCTTGAGTTTGGAGTAGAGCAACTGCTTTGGGAGACGGTGGTCGGGCATCCAGACAATGTGGCTGGTCCAGCGGAGTTGATGGTGGAGGACCATCACTTCAATGCTGGTGGTCTTTGCTTCTTCCAGCATGCTGACATTTGTCTGCTTGTCTTCTCAAGAGATTTGCAGGATTTTTTGGAGGCAGCACTGATGGAATCATTCCAGGAGTTGCATGTGATGTCTGTAGACTGTCCACGTCTTGCAGGCATATAGCATGGTTGGGAGGACAATAGCTTTATAAACAAGCGCTTTGGTATCTCTATGGATGTCCCGGTCCTCAAACACTCTGCTTCATTTGGAAAAATGCTGCATTCACAGAGCTCAGGCGGTGTTGTATTTCAATGTCAATATTGACTTTTGTGGAGAGGTGGCTGCCAAGGTAGTGGAAATGGTCAACATTTTCTAATGTTACACCATTAAGCTGTATTTCTGGCATTGGAGAGGGAATGGCTGATGACTGCTGGAAGAGCACTCTGTTTTTCTCGATGTTCAATGACAGGCCGAGCTTCTCGTATGCTTCTGCGAAGGTGTTTAGAGGAGCTTGTAGGTTTTTCTCTGAATGTGCACAGATGACGTTGTCATCAGCATATTGGAGTTCTATAACAGATGTTGTTGTAACCTGGGTTTTGGCTTTCAGCCTGCTGAGGTTAAATAGCTTGCCATCTGTCCAACAGATGATTTTCACTACAGTGGGAAGCTTCCCATCAACAAGATGAAGTATCATAGCGATGAAGATGGAAAATAAGGTTGGGGCAATAACACATCTCTGTTTGACACCTGATTCCACCTTAAATGGGTCACTTTGGGAGCCATTGCTGTCCAAGACTGTTACCATCATGTCATCATGTAGAATTAGTACAGTTTGATACCACTTTACCTGCCATGGGTCAATAGAATCATGGGAGTTGTAGTTTAGTGGGGCACCAACACTCTTTGGTCAAAAAATGGAACGACTTTGGAAAATTACAGCTTTCAGAATACCATAATGTTGAGCCATTGTTGTTAAAGCGGTGTCAAACTGGATTAATACTACATTGTAGATGCATCCCTAATGCTCTTCACCTGCTCAGGCCTTGGCAAGCGTCCAACCTTGGCCAGCTATTGGCAAAAACCTTGCCAAAAATCAAAGCAATGAGATCCCTTTGGAAGCGAAACCAGGACTGTTTAGGCTGAAATCCAATTTAAACAGCCTTATCAGGAAGGAAGTCTCTAATGAGTTTAGTGGGGCTTTAGGTTTTAGGCTTAGTGTACTGTGCGGATATTAGACGATTTCAATTGACTGTGTGTCATTAGGTTTCTGGACCTAAATACCCTAAAGGCACCAGATCCTGTCTGATCTTGGAAGCGAAGCAGGGTCAGCTCGACTTCGTATTTGGATGGGAGATCTGCCAATGAACACCAGGTGCTGGAGGCCATATTTCAAAGGAAGGAACTGGCAAGAAGTATTCCTAGCCCAAGAAAACCTTACGAAACTCATAGGGTTGCCATAAGTCTACAGGTGACTCAAAGGCACATATTGAGATGTGTGTGTGTGTGTGTGTATATATATATGGCTAGTCAACTATTGTATATACTTAGTGACATAGTTTCTCAGAGATGTTAAGATCCTGACAAACCTACAAGGCAAAGATGCTGTACAAAAGCGAAGCAACCAAATTTCTGTCTGATTTTTTTTTTGTTGTGTCAGGAGCAACTTAAGAAACTGCAAGTTGCTTCTGGTGTGAGAGAATTGGCCATCTGCAAGGACGTTGCCCAGGGGACGGATGATTTTGATGTTTTTATCATCCTTGTGGGAGGCTTCTCTCATGTCCCCGCATGAGGAGCTGGAGCTGATAGAGGGAGCTCATCCGCCTCTCCCTGGATTCAAACCTGTGACCTGTCGGTTTTCAGTCCTGCCGGCACAGTGGTTTAACCCACTGCGCCACTGGGGACTCCTGTCTGAAATAATGGGACTTGTAGTTTCGGTACCATCCCTCTTTGATGGTCAGTGCCAAAGACCACATGCAGTTTATGTGGTCTTTGGCACTAACCATCAAAGAGGGATTCTACAGCACCCAGCTTTCTTTACCAAATAATGTGCTGGTGCCTCCCCAAGTTACAACTTGTAGGATTCCACAGCCTGGAACTATAGCAGTTAAAGTGCTGTCAAACTGCATTAATTCTACAGTGTGGATGTGCCCTTGGAGCTTTTCTGATGTCAAATACCATCTGTGTATCACCTCTGAAAAATGTTGCACGTGGGGTCAAGGCATACTCTCCTCCCTCCCTTTCTTTATGCTTGCTTGCTTTTCCTCCTCTCTCCTCCCTTCCTTATTTCCTTCCTTCCTGGATTTATTCTTTCTTTTCTTCTCTCTGCCTCCTCTTCTTATTTCTCTTCTTATCTTCCTTCCTCCCTCTCCTTCATTCTTTGTTTCCAACCTTCCTTTTGTTTCTCCTTCTTTCCTTCCTTCTTTATTCATTTCTTTTCTCCTTCCTCTTTCCTTCCTTCTGTTTTTCCTCCTTCCTCCTTCTTTCCTTTCTCTATCTTCTCCCTTTCCTTTCTTTTCCCTCCTCCTTCTTCTTTCCTCCTTCTCCTTCTTTGTCTTCCCTTCTATATTCTTACTTCCTCTTTCTTTCTATTTTCTTTGCTCCTTCCTTCCTTTCCCCCCTTTTGTCTTCTTCCTTCCTTTTTCTTCTATTTTCTTTCCCTCCTTTCTACTGTCTCTTCTTCCTCCCTTCTTTGTCTTTCTTTCAATTTTCTTCTTTCCTTCCCCTTTCCTTCAATTTCCTTTCTCTCCTTCCTTCCTTCCTTGAGTTTCCACCTTCCTTCCTTCCTGTCATTCTATTTTCTTTCTTTCTTTCCTTCTTTCCTCCTCCTTCCCTTCTTTGTCTTCTTCCTCCCTTCTTTGTCTTTCCTTATGTCTTGTTTCTTCCTTTCCTTTCCCTTTCCTTTTATTTTCTTCCTTCTTCCCTCCTTCTTCCCTTGTCTTTTCTTCTATCTTCTTTCCTTCCTCTTTCCTTCTATTTTCCTCCCTCCCTACCGTATTTTCCTTCTATCTTCCTTCCTGTCCTTCGATTTTCTTTCCTTCCTTCCTTTTCTCCTTCCTCCCTTCTTTGTCTTTCTTCTTCTCCTTCCTTCCTTCCTCTGTCCTTCCTTCCCTCCTCCTTTCTTTCCTCCCTCCCTTCTTTGTCTTTCTTTCTATCTTCTTCCCTCTTCTTTCTATTTTCTTTTCTTCCTTCCTCCTTTCTTCCCTTGTCTTTCCTTCTATCTTCTTTCCTTCCCCTATCCTTCTATTTTATTTCAATCCATCCTCCCTTCCTTATCTTTCCTTCTATCTTCCATCCTCTTCTTTCTACTTTATTTCCTTCCTTCTTCCTCCCTCCCTCCCTTGTCTTTCCTTCTATCTTCCTTCCTTCCTGTCCTTCGATTTTCTTTCCATCCTCCCTTCTGTCTTTTCTCCTTCCTCCCTTCTTTGTCTTCTTTCTATCTTCTTCCTTCCATCCCTCCTTCCTTCCTCTGTCCTTCCTTCTTCCCTTCATCTTTCTGTCTTCTTCCCCATTCTTTCTATTTTCTTTCCTTCTTTCTTCCTCTCTTGTCTTTCCTTCCTCCCTTCCTTGTCTTTCCTTCTATCGTCCATCCCCTTCTTTCTATTTTATTTATTTCCTTCCTTCTTTCTTCCTCCCTCACTTTTTTCTGTTTTCCTTCCTTCCTGTCCTTCGATTTTCTTTCAGACCTTCCTTCTTCCTTTTCTCCTTCCTCCCTTCTTTGTCTTTCTTCTATCTTCTTCCTCCCTCCCTTCCTCTGTCCTGCCTTCTTTCCTCCCTCCCTTCTTTGTCTTTCTATCTTCTTCCTTCCCCCTTCTTTCTATTTTCTTTCTTTCCTTCCTTCTTCCTTCCTTGTCTTTCCTTCTATCTTTCTTCCTGTCCTTCTATTTTCTTTCCCTCCCTCTTTCCTTCTGTCTTGCTTTCCTCCTTCTTCCCTTCCTTGTCTTTCTATAGTCTTTCCTTCTACTTTCTTTCCCTCCTTCCATCTTTCCACCTTCCTCCCTTCTTTATCTTCTCTTCTATGTTTTTCCTTTTATTTTATCTTCTTTCCTTCTCTTTTCTTTCGCTCCTTCCTTCCCCCTTGTCTTTCCTCCTTCCTTCTTTCCACCCTTCTTTCTTTCTTTCTTTTCTTCCTCCCTCCCTTCCTCTGTCCTTCCTTCTTTCTCTTTCCTCCCTCCCTTCTTAGTCTTCCCCCTTCTTTCTATTTTCTTTCTTTCTTTTCTTTCTATTTTCTTTCATTCATTCTTTCTTTCCTCCTTCCTGCCTTATCTTTCCTTCTATCTTCCTTCCTGTCCTTCTATTTTCTTTCCCTCCCTCTTTCCTTCTGTCTTGCTTTCCTCTTTCTTCCCTTCCTTGTCTTTCCTTCCCTTTCTTCTTTCTTCCCCCCGTCTTTCCTTCGTCCCATCTTGTCTCCTTCCTTTCCTCCTCTCTCTCTCTCTCCTCCTTTCTGCCTCTCCCCCTTCCTTGCCCCCTCCTCTATCCCCTCCTCCTCCTTCCGTTTTCCAGGAGGAGCTTGGCCCTTCCTCCCCTCCTTCCTGGGCTTTGGGCTCCTTCCTCTCCCCGCAGAACCCTCTCTCTAATTGGAGCCAGACCCCGCGCCCCACCACGTCTCCACTTCGCGAGGGAGAAGGAGAAGCGCCCGAGAGCCAGGAAGGGCAGGCTGGGCCAGGGAAGGCAGACGACCCACCGCAGGCGCCCCTTCCTCGCGTGGCCCTCGCCCCCAAAGAAAGAAAGAGAGAGAGAGAGAGAGACCCCCGAAGCATGCCTCCTTGGCCGGCCCTCCTGCGCCTCTTGCCCCTGGCCCTGGCCCTGGGCGCCCTCTTGCCCCAAGGCTTCTCCTCCTCCTCCTCCTCCTCTTCCTCCCGCTTCAGCCCCGAGGTGAGTCCGGGCTCCGTGCCCCCAACCAGCCATTCCCACGCGAGATTTCCTTTCCCCCTCTTTGCCTCTTTCTCCTCTTGCTCCCAGGACCTCTTGCTCCCTTGCATCCCTTGCATCCCTCATCTGGTGGGACTTCTTCCAGGGGATCCTTCCCTTCTTCACTCCCAGCAAAGAAATGTGAGACTTTGGCACCCCTTCTCCTCTCACTCCTCCACTCCAAAACTTTTCCATTCCCTTCTTTCTTCTCCTCTCTAGCTCTCTCTGTGTTTTCCTCCCTTTTCTTCCAATCTCCCTCCCTTTCCTTCATTTCCATTGCCTTGTCCTCTGCCAGCAGGGCTTTCTCCTTCCCTTTTTCCATGCCTCTCTTTCTCTCTCTCTCCCCCTCTCCCTCAAATTGAGTTCCTTTCTTTGCTTTGCTTGTCTCCACTTGCCTGGTGCAGAGCTGGCTTCTTTCTATGCCTTCTTCCCTGCATTTAATCCAGTTGCTGCAAACTTGGCAACTTTTCCTTCTCTAATGGATCAAACCATTTTTTTAAAACCTGTGTTGCTGTGAGTTTTCTGAGCTGTACGACCATCTTCCAGAAGCATTCTCTCCTGACGTTTCGCCCACATCTGTGGCAGGCATCCTCAGAAGTTGTTGAGGTCTGTTGGAAACTAGATTTTTTTTCACGTCTGGAGCAACTTGAGAAACTACAAGTCGCTTCAGGTGTGAGAGAATTGGCTGTCTGCAAGGACGTTGCCCAGGAGACATTGCCCAGATATTTTACCGTCCTATGGGAGGCTTCTCTCATGTCCCCGCATGAGAAGCTGGAGCTTACAGATGGGAGCTCACCTCGCTCCTCAGATTCGAAACTCTGGAGCAACTTGAGAAACTACAAGTTGCTTCTGGTGTGAGATAATTGGCCGTCTGCAAGGACGTTGCCCAGGAGACATTGCCCAGATATTTTACCGTCCTATGGGAGGCTTCCCTCATGTCCCCGCATGAGAAGCTGGAGCTTACAGATGGGAGCTCACCTCGCTCCTCAGATTCGAAACACTGGAGCAACTTGAGAAACTACAAGTCGCTTCTGCTGTCAGAGAATTGGCTGTCTGCAAGGACGTTACCCAGGGGACATAGCCCAGATATTTTACCATCCTAAGGGAGGCTTCTGTCATGTCCCCACATGAGAAGCTGGAGCTGACAGGCAGGAGCTCACTCCGCTCTCCAGATTTGAACCGCCAACTTTTCAGTCAGCAGTCCTGCCGGCACAAGGGTTTAACCCATTGCAGCACCAGGGGCTCCTTGGCAAGTAAAAAGACATGAGACAATCAGAGCCAGTTAGTACCTCCCAGGGAACATTGCCCGGATATTTTACTATCCTATGGGAGGCTTCTCTCATGTCCCCACATGAGAAGCTGGAGTTGACATGTGGGAGCTCACCCCACTCCTCAGATTCAAACCGCTAACCATTCGGTCAGCAGTCCTGCCGGCACAAGGGTTTAATCCGTTGCACCACCGGGGACTCCTCTGCGAGTGAAAATGAGACAATCAGGGCCGGCTAGTGCCTCCCAACAAAGGATTTCTCCAGGCAAGAATCAGCCAGGCTTTGAAGCTGTAAGACTTTTCAATGCGAATCAAGGTGATTAATTGAAATATTCACACTTGCCTCCAACAGACAAGAGTTTTTTTACTCCCACTCAGGACCTTCCACAGATACATAAACCTCACTTGCTTAGTTTCCAGCAGACCTCAGCAACTTCTGAGGATGCCTGCCATAGATGTGGGTAAAACATCAGGAGAGAATGCTTCTGGAACATGGCCAGACAGTCTGGAAAACTCGCAGCAACCCAGTGATTCCAGTCATGAAAGACTTTGATACCACTATTTTTTTGATCCATGAGGTGCCATCTTATCTAACCTTTTGCTTTTTATTCCTCTTTAGTCCAGGCATGGGCAAACTTCAGCCCTCCAGGTGTTCAGCTCCTGGCTGTTAGGAATTGTGGGAGTTGGAGTCCAAAACACCTGGAGGGCCAAAGTTTGCCCATGCCTGCTTTAGTCGTCCTGTCACTTTCCTCATCTAATATTTTCCTCCAAATTGAACTCTCTCATCCTGACTTCCTGTATTCTATCTTCTCAAGTTCTTTATAGTATATTTGTCTGTAGATGTAGTCTTTCTTCCCTCCTTCTTTCCTAACTTAATCCATTTTCATATTGTTGAAGGCTTTCATGGTTGGGAATCACTGTGTTGTTGTGAGTTTTCCAGGCTGTATGGCCATGTTTCAGAAGCATTCTCTCCTGATGTTTCACCCACATCTGTGGCAAGCATCCTCTGAGGTTGTGAGGTTTGTTGGAAACAAGGCAAGTGGGGTTTATATATCTGTGGAATAATGTCCAGGGTAGGAGAAAGAACTCTTGCCTGCTTGAGGCAAGTGTGAATGTTGCAATTGGCCACCTTGATTAGTATTAAATAGCCTTTCAGCTTCAAGGTCTGGCTACTTCCAGCTTGGGAGAATCCTTTGTTGTTCAACAGAAAGGAGGAAACAATGAATATGAACAAAATCTGGCTACCAGTATTAAAAAAACCCTATAAAATCACGACAATAAATAAATAACACAATTCAGGAAAAAAGAGGAATTCCAAATATGAGTCAATCAGGGCCCAGCAAAGGATTCCTCCAGGCAGTAGGCAGCCATGATTGAAGCTGAAAGGCTACTGGGTGCCAGTATTACAAAAAACTCTATATTTCAGAACAGTCAGTAAAGAACAACACTCAGAAAACAGAGGAATTCCAGACACTAATCAACCAGGGCCAGCTAATCCCTCACAGCAAAGGATTCCCTCACACAGTAGGCAGCCAGACTTGTAGCCAAAAGGCTATTGGGTACCATTATTACAAAAACCTCTAAAATCAGGACAGTAAAGAAATAACACCATTCAGAAAAAAGAGGAATTCCAAACATGAATCAGTCAGGGCCAGCTAATACCTCCCAGCAAAGGATTCCCCCAGGCAGTAGGCAGCCAGACTTGAAGCTGAAAGGCTGTTGGGTACCAGTATTACAAAAACCTCTAAAATCAGGACAGTCAATAAAAACAACACTCAGAAAACAGAGGAATTCCAGACACGAATCAGTCAGAGCCAGCTAATACCTCTCAGCAAAGGATTCCCCCAGGCAGTAGGCAGCCAGACTTGAAGCTGAAAGGCTATTCAATGCTAATCAAGGTGGCTAGTTGCAACATTCACACTTGCCTCAAGCAGGCAAAAGATCTTTCTCCCACCCTGGACATTATTTCACAGATATATAATCCTCATTTGCCTAATTTCCACAACCTCTGAGTATGCCTGCCTTAGATGCAGGCAAAAGTCAGGAGAGAATGCTTCTGGAACATGGCCAGACAGCCCAGAAAACTCACAGCAGCCTATTTTCATATTCCTCTTATTGTGATAAGTTTTTGGCTCAACGCCCCTTTGTGGAATCCAACACATTCCCCTCCTGTGTTGTCTTTCTGCCAAACTTCCCATCACCTTTGCTCTTATTCCTTGATTTACATTCCATTTTCCATCTGGTCAATCCATCGACTTCTCCTCCTTTGCTCCTTCTTCTACTATCCTTTCTTTCTCTCTCTCTCCCTTTTCTTGGATGTGTTCTGCAGCTGGATGGAACGCTGGTGTTTTCTGTGCCAAGGCATTTTCTGTTCCATTCCTTCCTTTGCCAACCTTTCCCATTCCCTTACTAAGTAGAGCTTATGTGCTCCAATTTGGGATGACCATTTCTTTGGCTCTCACTCTTTCTTTCTTTTCTGTTCTAGCAGGAAAAAGGGACTTTGAACTCCAACTCTCATCATTCCTAACAGCCTCAGGCCCTTTCCTTTTCCCCCTCAGCCGCTTAAGTGGCTGAGGGGGAAAAGGAAGGGGCCTGAGGCTGTTAGGAATGGTGGGAGTTGAAGTCCAAACACCTGGAGGGAGGGCCAAAGTTGGCCCAAGGCTCCTTTATATTATTTCACTATCTTTTATTCTGTTCTGTTTGGAACAATGTCATCACTTTAGACTTTCTGCTTTTCTGCTTATCTGCTTGTTGATATCCTTTTGGTTCTTTTAGCTGTGTGTGAGTTTTAAAATTGTGTTTATGTACTTGAGTTTTTGTAGTGGAATTTGTATCTTTTGATGGCAACATTCTCAAACTCTCAATAAAACAGTAGCTGTTCTTTTCTACGACTTTCTTCTTATTTATGTTTATCTCGCAAATAATGATAGATCTCCATCTTTTTCCTCTTCCTGGATCTATCTCAAAATGTAGATTCTTGCCCTGATATCCTTTCTTTTGCCGCCCTTTATTCTAAACCTTTCTTTCCTTCCTTCCTATAAAGTATTATTATTAGTATCCCTCCCTCCCTCCCCTCCTATAAAGTATTATAATTATCCCTCCTTCCCGTCCTTCCTCCCTTCCCTTCCCTTCCCTTCCCTTCCCTTCCCTTCCCTTCCTATAAAGTAGTATTATTCCTTCCTTCCTTCCTTCCTTCCTTCCTTCATTCATTCATTCATTCATTCCAAGAATGTATTACTATTCCTTCTATCCTTCCTTCCTTCCTTCCTTCCTTCCTTCCTTCCTTCCTTCCTTCCTTCCTTCCTTCCTTCCTTCCCTTTCCTTCCTTCCATCCCTTCCCTTCCCTTCCCTTCCCTTCCCTTCCCTTCCCTTCCCTTCCCTTCCCTTCCCTTCCCTTCCCTTCCCTTCCCTTCCCTTCCTTTCATCACCCCTCCTTCCTTTCCTTCCCTTCCCTTCCCTTCCCTTCTCCCTTCCTTCCCTTCCCTCCCTTTCCCTTCCCTTCCCTTCCCTTCCCTTGCTATAAAGTATTATTATTATTCCTTCTATGCTTCCTTCCTTCATTCCTAGAGAGTATTATTATTCCTTCCTTCCTTCCTTCCTTCCTTTCTGTCTTCCTTCCTATAAATTATATCCTTCTCTCCTTCCTTCCTTCTTCCTTCCTTCCTTCCTTCCTTCCTTCCTTCCTTCCTTCCTTCCT